ACAAGATCAGATGAGACACTTGTCAATGGACGAGATGGTGAAGATCCATTCAATGTGGACCAAGTACCACCACCTGCTTGCCAGCCCCCAATGCCACCCCTATTGAGTATGCAAGGAGGCGATTCTGATGGACTCAAAACGCATAGAGCTCGGCAAGGGGGGCATGAAAATATAACTTCCCACAAGCTGAACCCGAGATGTCCGTCTGGGGGGCATGCGGTGTCTAAGAGGCTACATCAATCACAAGCAACACATGCTTGTGCTAAGCATACTAATTTGGCTAAGTATGGAAAGGGGGGCATGCCTCCAACCACTTCGAGTGGACACGAGAGCATATCTAACAAGTCACTACGTGAGAAACCCATAAAAAGTTATTGTAGATTTAAAAATTTGGCCAAGTATGGACAAGGCATGTCCAAGAAGCCATATGAAATCCAAGCCACACATGCATATGATAAGTATGCTAGTCTGGCTAAACCTGGACATGGGGGCATGTCACCCATCATGAAGTATGAAGTAGGGGGCATGTCTTGGAAGACACAACAGCTCCAAGCCACCCATGGCTTTTATAAGTGTAAAACTATGGTTAAGTCTGGACAAGAGGACATCCCACCAATCACCAATAGTGGTCATGAGGTCAAGTCCAACCAGAAAAGACGTGGGAAAGCCAAAAGGAGTTCTCGTTGTCTTGAAAATTTAGCTAAGTATGGGCAAGGAGGCATGTCTCCCACCATGAATAATGGAGTAGGGGGCATGTCCAAGAATCTAAAAGAATTCCAACCTACACATGCTTGTGATAAGTACCCAAGTTTGGCTAAGTGTGTACAGGGGGGCAAGTCTATGAGTAGTGAGTACATGCCATCAATCATGAATGACAGACATATGGGCATGTATAAGAAGGTACCAAACGCACAAACCAAACATGGCCGCACAAAGAACCAAGGATGGTCATGTGCTAAGTGTAAAGGCCAACAAGGTTCAGATGTGGAAAAACAAAGTCAAATGGACCACATGAGTGGTAGCCGACTTGTCAAGCCTAGACATCGTCTCCAACAACATGACGGGAGTAAGCATGTCTCAATCGAGAGGCAACCAAGGCAGAGGAAAACTCATGGTTGTCTTGACATGTCAAGTAAGGTGGCCAAAGCACAGGAGCAGGGGACCCCATGTAAGGCCACCAAGGCAAGACATACCAACCATATACCACCCATTGGTAAGTTAGAAAATTCAAAATTAATGTATGGACAGTCATCTCCCATTGAGAAAAAGAGTCATGTGGTCTATGGATGGCTTGCCTGCTTTAATCCATGGACTTGGCAGTGGGTGTACACCTTTGGCGCATTAGTTGTTGCCAGAGGCGATGGAGAGCAGTGATGTTTGTCACTCCTTGTTATCTTAAGTAAATAAATATCATATATATTAATAAATAAATAAATAAATAAATAAAAGACAATCATGGCTATATAAGAAACATTTTGAGTCGAAGTTATTAGACTTTGATGTGAAGATCTTACCACCAAGTCGTAGTGATGGCTTGGCATACCAGTCGTAGATTGCGTCTTGCTGTGCTATGTCATCTTGTCCCAAGTGGCCACCAGTTTGGATGTTGGCCACAACCTAAGGGCATCGTGGGTTGGAGATGAGTGATGGCCAGCTTGAGCATGTAAAATAAGAAAAGTGTAGGGGCATCACTGAATTGTTGACGAGAAGCCAACAAGGTAAGGGTTTCTCGTTGCTACACATGAATGAAAACAACATAGGCGGTATAGCTAGCCACTTGAAAAACGTAGGTACCATGGTGTTGTTTTAGAGGAAAAAATTTCAAGTTTTATTGAACCTGTGGTCATGGGTGAGTAGAGACAAGCCTTGTTACTCGAGGACCAGTTAGAGAAGGGATATAAGTGGTCAAGGTGGTATCAACTACTTAGTCCATAATCCTTATGCACTAAGTAGTTGGGGGGCATTTGTTTACACCATAAATTTTGTCTTGTACCACATTGGTGAGTTACAAGATAATCAAGGAGTTTATAAGGCCACACCCATTATAACAATTAATGTTGTTTAAATTGGGCCTTATGGATATTGATTTTAAACCCAAGTCACTAGCTCATTAATGAGCATGGACATGATTCAATAAGGGACATGGGCCTCTCGTAAGAGGCCATGCCATGCCACGAGATGGCATGAAAATTTCTAAGTATGAGAAGTCCATGGCCATGAATGAAGAGGCCATGCCGCCCCATGACCAAGGCCTAATGACTAAAAAATAAACTAAGTCTGGAAGAGGTACATGCCACTTCAAGGAGAAGCACGTGCCGCCTCACGAGAAGGGGCATGGACGCGAGACAAGATGAGACGTCCATGCCACTTCACGAGAAGGGGCATGGACGCAAGAAAAGATAGTAAGTATGAGAGGGCCATGTTGTGTCACGAGAAGGGCCACAGACATGACTGAGAAGTCCATGGCCGCGAATGAGGAGGCCATGTCGCCTCCTGATCCAAAATATACTATGTCTGAGAAGGCCATGCCGCCTCACGAGAAGGCCATGGACATGAGTAAGAAGTCCATGGCCGCGAGACAAGAAGGCCATGGACATGAGTAAGAAGTCCATGGCCGCGAGACAAGAAGGCCATGGACATGAGTAAGAAGTCCATGGCCGCGAGACAAGAAGGCCATGGACATGAGTAAGAAGTCCATGGCCGCGAGACAAGAAGGCCATGGACATGAGTAAGAAGTCCATGGCCGCGAGACAAGAAGGCCATGGACATAAGTAAGAAGTCCATGGCCGCGAGGCAAGTAGACCACGACCCCCTTTTGCGAGACACCACATGCTCGTCAAAAGACTAGCATGGCACGAGATTCAGAACAAGACCAGGCGAGGCAAGCTACAATCCAAAACCCACGACGGTTCCAAGAGAGGCACCTAGGCGGTTGAAGGAGTAACCACCACTCCGAGGAAGCAGGGAGCGGTTCTTTTTGGGAGTTATCCAAGAGGTGGTTTCTACCGAAGAAGGGGGAGCGGTTCTTTGTAGCAGTTATCCAACAAGCGGTTTTCTATGGCGGTTACCTCCTCGGGGCTATAAATAAGAGGAGGGGTCGACAGAGACAAGGGTTCCAAAACCAACACTCTGACACACATGTCAAGTTTATCCTTTACCTTTTCTCTATCATGTAGCCATAGATGTAGTTCGTAGTTTGGAGCTCTCGCCGAACCTCCATAGGAGTAGGAGTAATTTAATTTAGATCTCGTTCCCAAAAACCATCAATCAAACACCCTCGTTCGAACTTTGTTTGAAGAGGTTTGAGCCGTGTCTTAGAAATCGTTGTCCATAGAAGTCAAAGGTGCAATCCATCTCAATTCAACACGCAAGTTTTCTCGCCGGAAAACAGGACCAAACGTTTGCCTGGCCTAAACATGGCTTTCCCATAAACAACAAGAATCAAGAGCTTTTCTTTCAACCCCACAACTCTCTCTATCTCTCTAACTTTCTTTTCACAGCATTCATCAGCTTCACCCATCTATATGTTGGAGACTAAAGTTAAAGCTAAAGCTAAGAATCATAAGGTGTACCCGCCCGCTTGGCCTTTGAGCAATAAGATCAAAGATGCAGGACTCATAAGGTCAATTGAAAAACCGATATTGACAGGATGCCCAATGACGTAGTTAGGATTGTATGTAAGGTGGGTTCGAATTTATTTTATATTGCAAGAAAATTTTGAGCCATTGCAGTGCCCCGTAATGTGTTCTTATATATTGACGAACTTGCATTCATATGATATCGATGTCAATATATCCTATACAATAATCATTCATGATTTTGTCACCCATTAGATACCAAAGAGTGTTTTCACGTGGCTCATTGAAAATGTCATTTCAATACTTGCAGTGGGGCCTTAGTTAGCAACAACAATAAGTTACTTCTTTCAATTACCATGATTCGAAAAATAACCCCTAATTCTATATAGTTTTAGACAATAGCTAGCCTATATTCACGTCAAAGTATACATATAATAATCTAGTTGAGGTTTAAAACCTTATATATTGAATTTATTATTAGGATAAAAATAATCTAGCGAGTTTCAACAAAAAAAGTTTTTGCAATATATAATGAATAAACCTGGAATGGTTGAACCACGTTTTCAACATAAAATATTCTACCATTGACTTGTCCGATATAATTTTGGTACGATTTTTAATTCTTATTATGTTAATTTGCAGGGATATATGCCTTTTCTTGTTTGTTTTGAAACAGAATTTATGTTGTTCGGACGGGTGAATTTCGGCCGAAAATTAATTGAAAGGAGGTCGTACTTAAACAGTTAAACTGATATATTATCCGTCGGGTTAGTAGGTATCTAAGATGTGCTTAGGTGAGACAGGGAGTTTGGTGCTCATGGTTCCACATAAACTCATCTTCAGTACCACCGTCAATCGACATTATATCAGTTTAAGTCCGCCCCAACCCTCCTAAGATAACCTTAGGTACCCTGATTGACAGCCAGGCCAAGCTTACAGCAGTGAGGACAGAGAGAAAGTAGGAATAGGAACATTGTATTTGAAGGAGAAGGAATGCTTGCTTTGTTTACATTTATTTGTCGAAAGATGGTAATGTAAGTTGCACGTCTAAGTCATGGCGATTATGATTCAATTAGTATGACTTTATTCCACCTATTTTCACATTCTGCCATATTTTAAAATTACTTCATTTCTTACTCTATCAATTTTTTCTAAACCCGAAAATTTCAAAACTTTATCATAATCTTTGGGTAAACTCTATCAATTTACCATTAAGTAATTTCTATGAATCATTAATCTTTCTTTCATGGTTCTTACACTCAAATTAGTCAAACAGTCTGTTAAAGAGTGATCAAACATGGACTGTTTGACTAATTCGAGTGATCAAACATAAACTGTTTGATTAATTTGAGTGACCAACATTAGAATTAAAGAATTAATTTTATGAATAGGATGACCGAACATGGAATTTACCCATAATCGTTGCAAGCAAAACAAGGAATTTTACATTAATTCCTACCGTTCACCTGCAAAATACATAATTTTTTAATCTGTATGTTCTCCAATACACATTTATCAGACAGAAAGCTCAGCAGTAAGGATCTTCTTTCCAGAAACAAAACAAAGAAAAAAAACTTTTACATGGCATATGTTTTAATGTTTTGATTAACGATCATCCAAAGACTTTCCATCTGCTCCGAGACCGAGTTGTTCCAGTGAAGACATAGCAGGACATTTACGAGGCATTCCAAAAGAAAAGAAAAGGTAGGGTTGTGATACCCTTATTTCTATTGCAGACTCCACGTGCTGATATCACCAGATGTACAAGATTTTATATACAGATCGTAGGCTATCACTTACAAAACCAAATCACAAAAGGAAGATGAGTTCCCGGAGATTGCTTGCACCCAGATACACTAGAATGAACTACATTTGTGGAAACACTAGATCACTAACCAAACACACCCCTCTTCTCTTCTATGCTATCAAGTAACACCAAAGACTACACATTGAATATAAACTAAAGCTAGAGATGACAAGAAAATGGCTCATAAGGGAAAATATATCGACTGAGGGGATCAAATAATATCTAACAACTCAACCATGGCGATGCGAAACAAAATTTGACCCTTTTTTACATCACTTTCCCTTCCCCGCATTTCCTTCCCTCTGATTTCGGAAGTGGCCAAGGAGAAGCTGAGCCTGCATTTATATCACCCAAACCACATCATAGGGTCATTCTTGTAGAACAAGAGAAGAATTAAGCAAGTCAACATTTACGAGGGGGGTTAACATGACATGAGGTTTTGCAAGCATACCTTCTCTCTCGCTCTCGGGGTTCCAGACTGTGACAAGAAAACAAGTGGAGGGACAGCTCCTTCTTGTAGAACAAGGGTACAGTACTTTGGATTGTTAAGGCACAGTTGCACCAATACTGAAGCAGCATTTTCTTTTCCCCTTTGGGATCCTGACTCAATGACCTCAACAAGCAAAGGAATGCCTCCCGCCTTAGCAATCGCTAGACGGCCTTCCCCAATCGTCGACAAGTTTGCAAGAAGAGCAACCGATTTATCCACCATCCCAGTGGCAGGATCTATCAACTCCACGAGATGTTTCACTGCTCCAGCCTGAACTATGCGTGCCTTGTTCTCATGAAAGATAGAGAGGTTAAATAATGCAGTAGCGGCATCCTTCTTCCCTCTAAGAGTCCCTGAACTTAGGAGGTTCACCAAGGCTTTGACTGCACCGGAGCGCCCGATTCTTGCCTTGTACTGTTCCAGGACAGAGAGGCTAAACAGAGTAGCTGCAGAGTTCTCTTTGGCTGTGTCACTCCCCGAGTTCAGAACATGAATCAGAGGTTCGATTGCTCCTGCTTCTGCTATCATGGTCTTGTTCTCTTCATTGATTGATAAGTTCAGGAGGGCAGTAACTGCATGTTCCTGAGTCAGCTGTATCTCTGAATATAGAAGTGATAGTAATGGTGGGATAGCACCAGATTGAGCCACTATTACACGATTCTCTTTGTTGTGTTTGGTGAGGAAACGCAACTCTGCAGCAACTGCAGTCTGTAGTTCATCTGAATGACTTCTTTTGAGATCTTCCACCAACTCCTCAACATGAGATATGGTGGTTAAATCATCGTATGACACCAGATCAGATGGAACAGAATGAACCCTGCTGCAACAGTTTCCATTGCTTGAAATCTCTGGTTTTCTTTTAGGGTCTTGGAATTGAATCTTGGCAGACTCATTACTGGGAGCAGCAACAGCAGCAGCAGCAGCAGCAGAAGATACTTCAGTCATGACTTCTACTGAGAATTCATTTACATTATGGTGCTTGGAAGATGTTCTCGACACTTGATTTGAAGGCGGACCAAACTCAGTACTAGAAACAACACTCGAAGCTGATGCACTCCTGCTGATATGATATGACAGCAGCTCACGAGAAGGACATTCTACATTTCCATTCTTCAAGCTTTCATTTTGATTCGATTCCTGTCCAACGAACCCAGATATGTCATCAACCTTGTGATCCACAAATCCATTTCTAACTTCAGCTGAAGAAGCATTGCTGGCATCCAAAGAGCAGTTCTCACTAACTGAGCGAAATAAACCAGGATCTGATGAAGGCAATGGGACCAATGCGAGGTTAGCCCGCTCACAATTGCTAGAAATTTTCACACTATTTTCCTGACACCAATTTGCTATCATGGCTTTGACAGTATAATTGGGAATGAGATTTGCGTGAGAAAGTGTTTGACGGGTCTTGGGGCAAATCGCCAACCCATGATCAAGCCATTTCTGGATGGCATTCCTCTCATAAGTTTGACCAGAAGCCACAATGACAGGGTCCAACATAAGCTCCAAAGATAAGGGACACCGGAAATATGGAGGGATTCTGACACCACTCTCGGGTTCAGAGCACTCAACTTTAAGCAGACAGGCACGTATGTGACACAGGAGATCCACAACTTGATTTACCTGCTCCAAGTTCCCTTTGTCTCTGTTGGCCTCTATATTCATCCTTTCTTTTTCCAACGCCACACTTTCTTTCAGGAGATCACGGTTTGTCCTCAGATTAAGTGAACCAATGATTTTCATCACATGATCAGGGCAAGAAGCAGTGTCGTCTCTTGGACTTCTTAGAGCCTCTTCTATATAATTCGTAATTGATTCTTGTTTCACACTCTGAAGCTCCTGCATGCAGTTCTGAGATAATTTTCTGAAGTTAATTGCTGATTGGGTTCCAAATTCACGGGTAAGAGTGATAATAATCAAATGTTACAGATAGAGACAACTATAGATAAGAAGCCCAACTATGGCAGCTATTCTGTGAAGTAAGCAACCGACACTAAGCATTCGCACACCTGAATGACAGTTAAGTCTGTATCTATTGGAGAAGACTGCAACAGTGTACATAATATATGGCAAATCTCCAGCGAACATCTTTGGATTCCAATCAGAAGAGCCCCGGTCTTCTGAACCTGAAAATTTGAAGGGAAAAAATCTAAGAATCTCTTTCTCAAAGGCCAGGCTCTAAGAATCTAGTATAGTTTCATTTCCTTGAAAATAAGCGTAGCACATTTGCGGTCTGGCTTAGCTTAATTTTCTATCCCTCCATGTCTTGTACTTACAAATGAAAAAGTATACAGCAAAAGGGTAGAATGAGGTTGCAGACGTCAGAACCAAAAAAAGTCCCCCCCCCCCCCCCAACCCCACCTAACTGTTTGGTGAAATAGTTCCAATTCGACCTTAGGAACATCGGTTTGCAATGTGAAAGAAAGCATGATGAATAGCCATGGGCAACATAGCCATTCGACCTGTACGATAACTCGCAGTGGGTGAATTTGGAGCAACGAAAATTATAAGAACTAACAACTTACACTGCGAATCTTGCTCATCTTCGGAGACCAGTTTTCTATGAATTCTCTAGCCTCATTAACAGCTGCATCAAGCTCTTCACACTCTTGATATAGTATTTCCGTTGAAGTTAGATCGTGGTCAACAACTTCATCAAGCACTGGCTTCAAATACTTAAGCACCATAACCATACTTCTGTAATCATTTTGAATAGTTGCATGTATCTTTGTCTGGCATGAAACAAGAAGAATGAACCGAGAGATGCTGTTGACAAGACAGCTAATAGATGTTCTGTCCATTAGACCTGCTTCACAAAGAGCATGTCACAAGCGAAGTCACATAAAGAGCAAAAAGGAAAGAGCACCTAAAGGAGTTTGAAAATACGAGGAATACCCTAGTCAAATACTATACGCCGATGAGGATAACCATTTGCTTGTTAAATAATCAATGATTCCCAATGCTTTCGGAGGAATGAGCTTTCTTCCTACAGAAACAGAAAGTTTGTCATACAACAAAGCTACATCAATGCAGAATTCAAAGTAATATTCAAACTGTAAGCATATCCTTTCTATTGTTGAGTGAGGGCCCCGGAGTTCGAACAAAGGGTAAAGTGAACACGGCATTTCACAGCAAGAGAAAACATAAATAGAAGCTGTCTAGTATCCTTCATTCTGTTTAGTTGGTTCAAGGCACCTTCCTCAAGGATCACTCACAGATTAAAAAAACAAAGTTCGCAATAACCCAATAAGCCTATTAGAAAGAAAGAAAAAAAAAGCCATTCATTAGAAATGATGAAGACAGCCTAAGATCAATGGACAAAAGCTCTCCACCAAAAAAAAAAAGGAGCAAGCTGCTAACTCATCAAACCCGAATGGCATGTCCATTGCCAATATTAGAACTGAAAAAATGTACAGAGCTGGACAAGTCCTGAGTTGTCTCCTCCCAACGCCAAGCTTGCTTATCTTCTGCAAATGTTACCACTCCAATTTCCCCCAAAGAAAACCTAACTCCACAGACCTTTTGCTTCATACAAAGTCAATGTCTGATCTGGAAAATGCTAGAAAAAGTGGGCATGTTGTATCCATCCCACAATTATGGAAAAGAAGCTAAGGGTCGTTTGGATTTAACATTTGTAAAATGAGGCAATTTGGGGTAATGTCTCATTTTAGAAATTGAGGCAATTCTATGAGAAACTAGCTTTAATCCGACCAGTTGGTCGGAGGACCCAAATTTCATTTGTAATTTTGGAGCTAATGAAGATGGTAGGAGCAATATCTTATTACGTGTAAAACTTGTAGAGACCAGTTAATCGAGCATCGAGACCTCAACTCCGTACATTGTTTGCAAGGGAAGTGGCTCTTCCTCCCCAATATTCCCATTCTCAAACCCTAGACCCTCGCTGGAGATAGATCTCTTTGAACCGATATATCCCCTGAATGGTTTGCCACCGCCATTCACAATTATCCAAACAGAACCCTTAACCGAAAATATAGAAACAGCCAGGGCAGGGGAAAGAAATCTAAGAGATTATGCAAATCCTCAATACTGAAATCCAACAGTAGCGACTGGATAGAGCTTCGGCTTGTTGTGGTGGCGTTTGTTGTGAGTGGATAAAATCATGAAAAAGGCGACAAAATGTAGCAAGAGCTACCTGCTTCAGAAACAAAATTCAAGCATTTTTAATTCAATGAATCAGTCGTCGAAAACCATTCGGGGAAAGGAAAACAGAATTCCACAATCAGTGATCATAAAAAAAAATTCATTGTCTGATTCCCAGCAATCAAACCCTAGAAATTGAGATTAACTTGAAGGGAAACTGAATTTACCGCGGAGAGGAAGGAGTGGGGGCTTTGATGTCACTTGCCGTTTCCAGAGTGTCGTCTGCCTCGCGACTTCCTTTTTCCATATGATTGAGAAAAATCAGTACTTCGAACCTTCGCCGCAACTAAATCATTCGACTCTGTGCTTGTCGCCGTTAACAACTGGGACCCCTCCCTCCATCCTAATTCACAACCGCCGGAGGTCGAAAAGGAATCAGAGGAGACCGTTGGCACGGCGGAGCGGAGGTGACGGATTGAAATTTTTGGGACCGAAGAGAATAGTTGGCGGCTGAAAAACACCGATCGAAGAGGACGACGGAAAACGAAGTAAAAGGAGACAGCAGCCAGCAAGTAGGCCTGTCAGTTCGGGTCGGTTCGGGTTACCCGAACCCGAAACATATTTAACCCGAAAACCGAACCCCGATACATGCACTACCGGGAAAGGACTGAGAGGGAAGCAAATCTCAGTTCTGATTCTGCTTTGCCGACGAAAAGACTGCAGGAAGCAATTTGGGAAGAAGAAAATCAAAAGCACATGGGTGGTTGTCTTGCTGGGCAAATCGACAATTTCAAGGTCTCGATCTGCCTCTGACTCTCCGAGAAGTTTGCTACTGGTCGTTGACACAAGATCTGTACTGCTCTCCGGCAGCAAGATGGCGGCTACAGAAACCTACTTGAAGCCTCGAACCCAGGTGGGTTGCTGCATTGCTGAGAGGCGGAGTGAAGGCGAATCCGGAGATGACGAAAATGTAGGCGAAGGAGAGGACGACGAAGGCGATGTCGGAGATCCCCTCGAGGCCGTTGGCAGCGAGGACGTTGATGGCGGCGAGAAGTTGAACTGGTAGAAGCTGGGAAGGGAGGCTCTGTTTCGGCGAAGCCTCGAGCAGTCGGCGATTCCTCTCAGTCTCCTCTGTCGCAAATCGCAATTCCCAAGGAGATACCCTAGAGGTCCAATTACCCAAAACGTCACCGTGAGACTCCAGTCACAGCTTTCGGGTTTTGCGGGTTTTTATCAGTTTTCGGGTTGTATCAAAACCGAAACATTTAGGGATGGCAATGGGTCGGGTTGGGTCGGGTTTTGCCAAACTCAAACCCAAATTCATGGGTTTATCCGTGAAAAAACCTGGGGTAAAACCCACTGGGTTTGAAAAACTCAAACCCAACCCGCTGGGTATCCGCGGGTTCATGGGTACCCACGGGTTTTTGACGTAAAAAATTCACAATAACAAATTCCTATCAAAATTAAAGTCAAATATCAATCTCTCAATACAAATTATCCATATATAAAACACCATTCTAGAAAATTCAAGCAAATCACAAATTAACTACACAAATTGTTCAACACCAATCTAAAAAACTCAAGAAAATTGAAGCAAATCACAAGTTATCCATAAATAACATGATTAATCGAAACTTCTTCCTTTCAATTAAGTTTTTCACTCTCACTCAATAACATCAACTTCATTCTACATAACTAGAAAGAAAAAATTAGACATGTCTCCACAATCATAAATAAGATTAGTTGTTTAGAATATTAAGTATGCCGAGAAAATTAATTATATGAGTGGGCGGGTACCCATGGGTCGGGTTTACCTAAACCCAAACCCAACCCGGTGAATAGTGAACGGATTTAAACCCAAACCCGGCCCAAAACCTGTCAACACGGATTTTACCCGCGTTGACCGGATTGGGTCGGATGGGTACCCATGGGTTCGGGTTTTATTGTCATCCCTACGTTAAATAGCACTTCGGTTTGAAACCGAAAACCCAAAATCCGACTCTTATGTTATCGGTCCGGGTTTTAGCAGCAAGCTAAAATCAAGCACCCACTTCAATATCACTGCGAGTCTGCAAAGAGGAGAAGGATGCTGCGGCGATTCCAGAATACCAATGGATTGGGCAACAAAAACGCTGTGAAAGCAGATTAGGAGCGATAGACTCCGATGACGAACAGTTCTCTTAGGTGGGTTGGAAAAGACAAATCAGGCCCAACCAAGACCTATAGCAGATCTGCCCGGAAATAACTTTTCCCGACTCCCCAAACTGCCCTTCCTAAGAACGCTATGGATGCAGCAATTTTTGAAGGCTAAACGTCGCCCAGGGTTTACTATTATCGTCCTAACTTAAACGGTAAAAATTCCTAAATTGTCCTTCATTATTCAAAGCAAATTAAATAAAACTAACAACTATTTCATCACCGAATAATCACCGTCAGTCACCACCACTAGCCACCACCGACGCCGGTCGGTCAATTAACATCAAGCGGAGTGTTCCGATAGGCACAACAACAATAACATCTCGAATTTCCCCAATCGACAAGAAATCCACATAATAAGAAGTTCTAACTTTTTTTAAATAATTTTTCTGGCAATTCAAAGCGTTGGTCAGATCTTGTGGAGCTTCTTTCCCAAGGCTCTTGAAATCGAACTCGCAATTGTCCTGATCCCGGTACCGGTGCCCGCCGCAGTGATGGCCTCTCTATTGTGTCCATCTCCGGCGAATTTACGAGAGAGAGAGAGAGATAAAAGGTGAGGAGAAAAAGAGGCAAGAAGATGTTTCGACAGAGTGAGGGATAGAGGGGAAAGGAAAATGAAAATAGAAAAGAAAAATAAAAAGGTCAGCTTTGGGAAAGCCACCAAAAAAAAATGAAGCAATCTACAATAGCTTCCCCCGTATCCAAGTAATTCTAATTGTCTCATAATGGATCAATTCACATTTCCCCTAGTACAATTGGTTCATCAACTTTTTTTAGTCAAATGAGACAAGTTAAGCCAATTGTGGCAGATTGACTCGTCACATTGATCCATCCAAACGACCCCTAATCTCTTTCGACCAATTATGGTCTCTTGACAGTTCAAAATGAAGAGGAAAACTTTGACAAAAAATGTTTCCGAACATTCAGAATTCGGGTCAAAGGCTCCCTTTCCTTCGAGCAAAATTAGTTAGTTCCGCCGACAGTAAGAAAAGAATCAACCTTCAAGCACATAAACGAAAAATTTGTGGGCAATCATATGTAAAACGTAAACCCAAACCCTTAACCTCTCAGAAACCTAACAGAATCCCTCCTCATACGCGGATAAGAGAGACCCAGAATTCTGCTTCCTCAGACCAAGAACTGTCAAGAAATTGTCTCCACCAAGGCATTGGGTTTCCTTAATCAGTGGAAATAACATCGATAGACATACCTTTCTGAGAGAAGGATGGAAAACACCGCACAAGTTAACAAAAAAATAGGGTCAAAACAGAAGCCGACGGCAGGCCAGAAACCCCCAGGACAGAGGCCAAATCAAAAGCTATCAATTTATATCCTCGTCCGCAGAAGAGCAGCAACAAAAACAACAACAAAACAAAACATGTAGAACCGACACATATGGAATCACCAGAAGATGGGGAATTTTACATTGCAAAGAAGGGTAGAGAATTTTACCGCACCTCTAACATAAGGAATAAGGTTGCCGACGTCGGCACAAAATGGAGGAGGAAACAGATCTCGATGAACATTTGACACAAGAAGAGGGACCGCGAAAAAATAAAAGGCACAAACACAAAAGTAATTTTTAAACTTTGCAAGAATTAGAGCACAGACCCAGATGCTTGGCTTTCATTACAAAGCTGCAAAGCTGCATAAGATGAGAGAGAGAGAGAGACAGACAGAAATATCACAAGCAAAAAAAGAAAAGATGACAGAGATAGGGATAGAGAGAGAAGAGTACCAAAAAAAACAGCTTACAAGGAAGGAAAATGGGAGAAATATTTTCCCAAGTTGATTAATTAATTTCTTTTCAACAAATCATCATCACCTAATCATTTAAGTTCATCATTTCAATTATAATAATCTATCTAAGACCTCGATTAAGGACGACTTTCTTACTTTATTTGCCCAACACATTCCTCAAACTTTCAGCTACAATTGTCTGTCCATCATGACTCATAAGTAGTTGTGTAACTACTTGGCCAAATGTCAATGGACCGAAAAAAAATTATCGGCCAGTTATATAGATTAACTTAATAGTTAATATTATTAGAAAATAATATTTTGACGTTATAACGCTTTATATTAGGAGTGATAAACGACTATACCGTTAATGGTTAATCACTAACCCTACCGTTAATCCACCGTCAACAATTTAGATATTATTAGAAAAATTATTTTGATCTTATAAACACTTTACAATTTCCATGTTACAAAAGAATTGTTCCAGAACACATGATAGATATAATGAGAAGAATAACTATTTTACTAAATTCTCTTTTAATACATATTACAAATGAAGAGGTATTACATAGAGGGTTGGGTAGCTATTGTTGTGTGTCGTATCTTCTTCGTTGGCCTTGCTTTTATTGGCAAGAATCAATCTTCCACAGGTCACAAATATTCTTAATAACGGTTGTTAGGAGGAGGTTGAAGAAGATGGGTTATGTGGAGGGTTGATATCCACTAATTATAGTACTTCCCCGAGAAATTAAATAAATAAAACACATATTAGAAAGTGTTTAGGGGGGTAAGGAAGGGCAATTTGGTTATTTTCCAGCCCATTTGACGACTACTTAACAGATAATTTTATGAAAGGGTAAATTTGTTACCTTTCAATATTAGAAGGTATGTTCGTGCAAAAATTTAGCAGAGAGAGGTACATTTGTTAATTTGCAAAAATAGAGGAATACGAAATGCTTTGAACCCTAGGAAACAATTTCACTGTCTGCGTTTTGCAAGTTGCATGGCATCCCCCTCAATCCTCATTCAATTCCATCGCCGCCTCTTTGTTTCTCTACCTTTCTCTTGCTCTTTCTACATACTAACCCCAAATTTGAGCATCAGAGAGTGCTCATCAGGGCAGTGAGATTTTGGCATGTGTTCTCCGGCGAGAAAACTTGAGTTGAAATCGAATTGAATGCACCTTGACTTCTTTGGACAACGATCACTAAGACACGGTTCACACCTCTTCAAACACAGTTCGAACGAGGGTGATCGATGTTTACACGACTCTCGAGACAGATCTACATTAAGTTACTCCTACTCCTATGGAGGTTCTGAGAGAGATCCAGATCTACTACTACGGCTAAAATTGCAGAGGAAAGGATAAAGGGATAAAATTTGACATTGCTTTGTCTGGTGTGAATTTGGCGACCCCCTTCTCTGACAACTCTTCCTCCTATTTATAGGCTTGAGGTGATAACCGTCGTAGAAAACTGTCTGGAGAGTAACTTGCAAAAAGAACCGCTTCCCTTCTTTCCCGGACGTGGCTGACGTGTCCTTGAACGTGGAGTAATTGACAGTTTCTCAATCAAACCGTCGGCTCTCCCTTTTGGAACTGACGTCTTGTTACTTGCCCTTTCCTTTACCATGGCTATTCCAGATCTCGCGACAAGGCGGTTTGTCAAACATGATGACAATGCTACGAGGTGGTTTACCAAACTTGGCGCGACGAGGCTTGTCGCGACGAGGCGGTCTACCAAACTATACGCGAGGAGGCTTGGCGCTTAGACTTAGTAGAGGCTTGGCGGACTTGCGATGAGGTGGCCTGACACGAGGAGGCTTGGCGCTTGAACTTAGTTTATTTTGTGACCTTCTCCCCACATATCTTGTAGACTCGCGATGTGGTTTAGACAAGGCGGTTTGTCACGACAAGGCGGTCTACCAACTTGACGCGAGGAGGCTTGTCGCGATGAGGCACCAGACTTAGTTTATTCTCACGCGTCATGTCAGGCCTAATCATTTGGGCTTAAAAATCTAGTATCGTAGGCCCAGTTTAAATAACATTAATTGTTATTGTTGATCTGGCCTTATAAAGACAGTTAATGTCTTGTAAATAATCAATGTGGTACACGATTATTTTTGTAGTGTAAACAAATGCCCCCCAACTACTTAGTGCATAATAATTATGGACTAAGTAGTTGAACACCACCATGCTAGCGAAAGTAACAAGCTGGCTAGTGTCTACTCAACACACCTAGTTCGTCCTTAGCCAAAATTTGGCTTTCA